AAAGGTGTGGTGGTGGGGGGGGGGGGGGGGCATGTCTGACTACAGGGATCTTTCGGAAAAGGCTTTATTTTCCGCAAGATCAGCATCTAGACTGGTGCTTTTTTCTGGCAAAGCTCCATGCGGAAAAAAAGCAGCATCCATTTTTATGCTAATGAAGCAGGGAAGATTTAAATCCCCGCTTCATTAGCAATTGTGATACATCTAATTTACATCCCCTTTACAAAAAAGTGATGTAGTCTAGACGTAGCCCCAGGGTATGATGACCCCTGTATGCAGGAAGTGAGATCGAGCTCCCCCTTTCCTCTTCATATAAAATATGCAAGTATTATTGTTGGTCATCACTCTTACAGTTGGATTTCTTATGAATGCCAAAAAATGAAGGCAGACAAAGTGGATGGAGTGAAGTTCCAGAAGATTTATAGGCAGGCTTCTCTCAGTCATGGATCATAGACCCTAAGCTGTGTGATATTACATGTATGCTCTGTATTGAAGGAGGGAGGAGAGAGTTGTAACAACATGCGATGGAGAGTCTTGGGTGAATGGGACCTCTGAGCCACAGGTTGTATGGGTGAGTCCACCAGGTCAACGAGTCCTTTACTTTGGAAGTGCCATTGTTAGCAGTAAATTCAAATTGTTTGCTTGAGCTATACACAGTTGCTAGGCAACCTTGGAAGCATGTAAGAGAACAGAGACGTAAAATCCCATTTAATCAGTTAACCTCTCAGACCCAGACTCTCAAACCCATCCCCACCCCGGCGCTCTCACCCAGTCCTAAGACTCCCTTCCACAATCCAAATCTCCTGGTCCAACCCCACCACATAAAAGTTGTGCGCCTCTTGCCTCAAAAGTCATTGTAAGACCTTCCCTGGACCATGGAGAACTGCCAGCCAGACACTCTTAATTCCCAAAACCACTGCTTAAAACCTGTGAGCTTACCCAGCTGCTTACATACATTCCCACTCAGAGCTCTACCTCTGGTGCGGACATTCCAGGCTTCTAATTTAACACCTTTGGGGTAGGGATGTAACATATCGTTTAACTGGCTAATCGAATAGTTGATGCAATTTGCATCGACTATTCGATAAGTCGATAAACACTCCTCCACCTTGGAAGTGTAGCAGTAGCCCCAGGGCAGTTGCTACACTTCAAAGGCAAAAACGCTGCAGGGAGCACGAGGCCAGCAGGGGACTCAAGCAGTCACCCATTGGCCCCGTGCTCCCTGTGACATTTCAAAGCAGCAGCTCTGCATGGGGTCCAGGGTCAGTGGAGGAGTCCGCAGCTGATCCCGGGCTGTATGCAGCATTTTGAAGCAGCAGTGCCACGTGGTCTGGCCCCGGACTCCATGCGGCGCTGACACTTTGAAATACCCCTTCCTCTTCCTACCACGCCTTGCTGCCTCTTTCTGATAGAGGTGGGGGGGAGGAGGGCGCCAGGAAGTGACTAGTCAATTAATATCCAATAAGCTTTTGCTTATCAGATAGTCAACTAGTCATTCACATCTCTGCTTCAGGGACAACGTGACAGAAAAGCAAGAAAACAGAATTTACAATGGAACTTCTTAACCACAGAAACTTTACTCAAAGCATTCCAGAGTTACAGATCTTTGAAACTAACTGAAGAGTGAGACACACCCTCTTTTGGACTGGTCTTACCCTTTCTGTGACTCTGAGGTCTGTAAGTGATTTCAGGAAGGCAGAGTTCTTCTTCCCTTCATACGTCTGCAAGTCCACCTTTTATTTGGCCATGGTTGTTCCAAATCTCCACCCACTTTTACACAAAGAAGAATCCTACTTAGGGTCTCCCCTCTGTGACATGTACATAACTGACTCTCCAGCCACACCTCTGTTTTGCTTGCCTGACTGACAGTCTCCTGTGTAGAAAAGCCATTATTACATGGAGTTGAACCTGGCAGCTGAGAACCAATCAAAGTCAACAGCTCTTGGTGTCAACAGCTTTCCTAGACAAGACAACTATCTGAATGAAATACAATAAGTTATTCCAGGGGGAAAAAAGAGGATACATGCATGCACCGAGTACACAGACTTCTTGCTTTCAGTTTCTATGCTTAGTGCTAAAACGGTTGCTAGCTATCAAGAGCAGGAACTGCAGGGAAACACCTGCTCAACATCTGTAGCATTGGGCAGGCGCACACACAGTGCAAATGGAATCTTGAGACAGACAATTTAAACTGTCAAACTAACAAGTCTCTAGTAAGTATAAGCCAATGGCAGGTTTTGGGAGGCTTTTAACTTGGTCAAATTTGGGCAGATTTTCATGGAAGGGACAAAAGATGCATGACTGACATCAGAATGACACCTCTGCTAAATAAACTTCAAGACCATACTCCAAAGCATGGATATGCTTCAACTTCCCAATGAAATGGAGGTGAGAATTTAACACTGGTAAAACAATGTATTTCTTCCTAACATGTTTGAGAAACAGCTGAACCATTTTTCGAAAACATTTTTTAACAATTAAGTTTAAAGCACACACCCAGCACAGGAAATTTCAGTCTGAACTGAAACAGTTTTGCACCAAAAAGTGTTTATGAACCTGAAATATAGTTTAGGGATATGTTAGGATTCATGGTTAAATGGTTAATCCTTCAAAGGAACATGCAAGCTTTCCTCTACCCCAACCGGGGGGAAAGGGGAAGCAGGCAGGAGCCAGAGCTCACAGGGAGTGGACTTTTAAGCAGGCTACCCACATATATCAGCTCCTGCAGAGCCCCCTCTCCTGCACTGCTGCCTCAGAGCAGGGTGTCAGGAAGCTCCCCAGGAGCCGGTGCTCACATGGAGCCTAACAGAAGAAGCAGCATAGGGGAGAGAGAGGACAGGAGGGCACAAGCACTGACTCCCACCTACCCCCCACGTGCTGCTGCATCTGTATCAGAAGCAGTGGCATGGGGGAGAGGGGTGCGCTCAGAGCTCCCCCCCTCAGTATAAATGTGTAACCACTGAAAATTGCAGTGGTTGCACGTTCACAAAAATAGTCTTTTAATATCCCTAGCATAGCTTACTACCAGCTCCCCTATAATGCATGTGCATTTCTGAAACCGTAACAGCTGGAAACCTACTTTTTTAATAAGAGACCTGATGTCAGTGCCCACCCACCTTGTACAACCCACGTTAGGAAAACATTGCTTTACAACACTGCTACATTAATTTTAAACACTTTCCATCTGAGGATCTAAAACAAGACTTACATGGTTGGGTTATATTACCTCCATTTTGCAACTGAGTGAAAGTGGGGGTTGGGCAGAGATAGAAGTGAAGCACAATTTTCCAAGGTCCCAGGTTATCACTGACAAATTCAAGAATTTAATAAATCTCATCTGCTCACATCTAATTCTGTGATTTAATTGTAAAATTAACCTTCCAGTCTGCTGAAAATTGTATGTCCAAGAAAAAAAATTAGGAGAATTACTGAATATCCTTTATATTGTACATCAGTAGCACATGAATGCTCACAATAAGCAAACTGTGGTTACACTTATCACAATTACATGAGTCTACAGAGCACACAAAACAGGAAAAATATTTTTGCTCTTCTTTGTGATGCATGTAGTATATAAAAATTATGAGATGCTGTACTTCAGTATTAAATGAAGATGGTGCTTGTAGGATAACCAGATTAAATGACCAAAGTCAGAAAAAGACATAAGTGACGATGCTCGTACTAATTTCTAAAGCACCGAAACATTCACTGAGAGCAAAGGGGCATTTTTCATTTATGCCTTTTAGTGATTTTAACTGTGCTTTGAATTTGTAGTGTATTTTCCTAAAGAAAGCTTGATTTTCATTGGTTGATAGCCATTAAAATAAATTTAGCTGCAAGTAAATATAGCCTTTCACTAAATTTGGTGCCTTTTTGCTAACCAAGAAGCTACAGAATATCGACACACATTTAAGCAACTATACAGCTTACCTTACATTTATTCAGTTTCTTAATTTTTATTATGTTGGAAAATGGTCAATGATGCATATTATTTAGTGGATGATGATGGATTAATTTGCCATTTGTATCCAGTGCTATTTGGATGCCAATTCTAATTAAATTTAAATGAATGCAAAACTGCAATGTAATTTTTTAAGTTTAAACAAGCTATTTGGAATGTGCTATATACATAAAATGGGAAAAATTTTCAAATTGCATTATGCAATTAAAACTAACATTTCTTAAACAAAGGAAGTGGTATCTCTAGTTAGTCAACTGAACTGATTGCTTCTGGACACCATATGCTTTAAAAATCTTACAGCTAATAAATTTCATTTTCTCAGACCTAACTTTTGTTATAGATTAGAAGAGGTAACTTCCTGTTTTTCAAAACACAAGGCTGAAGTTCAGGTCATGCCAGGTTTGACTTTATATATGATGGACTATTACTGATTGGATGTAGCTAACTTGTGATCTTTTTCCCTTCATATGGGGTGTAAGGGAACTGACTACATTAGAAACAATTTAACTATATAATAAGCTTCCTGGAGCTGATGTTTTGTATAGCTATTGGTTTCAGTTACAACTTGAGGAAGAGTACCACAGAAGGACTGCCAGTTTGAATACTAGCAATATTCAAACTAAGGAAGCCTTGCTCTAAGTAGTGCAAAGTGGGTCCTGTGTGACCAGCAGAGAGTACATTACATTCTATAACTCAGAACGAATGGGAGTTTGTGAGATGAACTTTTGAGCGCTATTAGGGATGTGAATGGTTAACCAGTAAGCATCACTTTTTCCAGGTGATGCTTACTGGTTACAGTTAACCAGCAGCCTGAGGCAGACGGGGCACTGCTACGGTCTGGCTGGTCCCATCCACAAAACGTGTCCAACTGTAGCAACCACCACCCCGCCCTGGGTAAGGGGCGCTCCAACCCAGCCATAGTAGTTTGAAGCACCGTGGTGGGGAGGGCACCACAGCTCATCTGGGCTGGAGCAGCTCAGCCCAGCCTGCACTGTGGTGGGCCCAGCTGGACCAACTTCCACCTACATTGGGCAAGTAGAGCTCCAGACTAATCAGGCCTGCTGCACCACACCGGGGGGCACTCCAGCCCCAGACCAACTCACTGACCCCAGTGTAGTCAGCCCAGCTAGAACAGGCCCTGTTGCGCCAAAAGCAAAGGGAAGAGGGGACTCTCCAGCACAACTATAGCAGTCTCTGCCCACCCTCTTTTAAGCAGTTAACAATGTTTAGCGGTAAAATGTTAAATAGGATTTTACATCCCTAAATGATACCTCTTCAAGAGCCAGTTGAATATCCAAGTTCAGTTAAATTTGTTAAGAAAACATTCAGCATTGACTAAGAAAACATTCAGCATTGACTAATAAGTGCTATGTAGCACATTTTGTAAGAGTAATAACATTTTAAAGATCTCACTACAGCACTCTGCTCTTAAAGTTTTTCTGAAAAGGAGAGACTAATTTTATTTGTAACTTGCCAGATGTACAGATTAGCAAAGTGCAATTCAGGGTCTTTACTGTAGATTCCTTAATTTCACTCCAGTCAGTATTCACGCCAGTAAGTAAAAAATTTATCTAAAATGCTATTCATATATTGTAACAGGTGTTAAATAAAACTGATTGTTAATTAAGCGATTACTTATTAAACTTGAAAAATTCTGTACCTTAGTTTCTTGCTATTTCCCAGCATGTTGAGTCCAACTGAATTCCCTTTCAAAACTCTAAAACTTCCAGTTTTGCCTCGCCTTGCATATGTTTTTATGCACTCGCCACTGGTGCCAACAGTTCCTGAGCGACAGCGTAGTGACTGTAATGACAATTCATAAAATGTTTGGTTGATGAGAGTATAAAATTATTAAGTTGGGATATGCTTATATGAACACGGTCTGCAATCCATTTTTACAATGTCTTTGTACTAAAACATTAAGATGTTTAATGTCTATCTAAAACCAAAAAATGAAAAGCAATATGCCATTTACACTGAGTATATTTTTACAATAAATGCAATGCCCTTAAACACTCAAATATGTAAACATTAGGAAATAAAACTATTCCGCATTACCAAAATGTCTTTATGAGATATTAGCATTTTTACCATATTTTGTTGGATTCTAGATAGCATTTCATTTGCTGAGTTTTTGAATATTGGAAAATGTCTTCGAGAACTATTCCATTTTGATTACTTGTAAATTTATTAAGCCTATATTCCTATGAACATATCAATTCAAATATATAATGCATGACTGCTTTATATTACTATTCAATATTTAATTCATATTTTAAAAGATACACACTGTCTATTCCTCATCTCTGGACTTATCTATAGACATGTGTTTAATCTTTCATTTGGTTTGATTCACTGGATTGCATCTTTCAGATTATTTGTTATGAGGAAAGGCAGCTTTTCTTTGCTACATATGCCCACTACTCAAAGCAGTGACATTTTCACTATTATTTTGTTGGAAAGACATTTTACTCAGTGCCTGCCATCAAAATCCCCTAAGAACACAACCATTATTCATTGCTCACCTTCTCCTCCCCCAGGTATACAAACACATCAAAAACCCAAAATACATGAGCATACGTAGCCAAGAAAGAGTAGCAACTAGAAGTAAATTCAGTATTTTTGACAAAAGGAAAAAACAACAACAATTTAGTCTATGATTGGTAGTAGTCTATAGTTCAAAGTAAACATCAATTCTGATAGTTTCAAAACTCAGAAGAACAGAGTACTGTATAGCAAGCAGGTTCCCTGAAATTCAGAATCATAAACATAGTAAAGGAATGCAACTCAAGATATTTTTTCAGTGTGCTTCACAGAAAAGACAACATACAATTTTTCGAAAATGTATTTTCTTATTAAATGGGATTACTATACTACATGGTTTGAAAATAAAATCTTAATATGTGTTTTAATGGATGAATATATAAAGTACTTACTTTCTTTTCTTCACTGGGACTGAAGGACCCATCGCTGTCATCTATGCTGAGCAGTTTTGCCTCACTAAACAGTGGAGGATGGGAGAGAAAAAGATGGATATACCGTCATACAGAAAAATGGCAGCAAGATCATCCTAAAACCATACTGTCAAGTATCAGAGGGGTAGCCGTGTTAGTCTGAATCTGCAAAAGCGGCGAGGAGTCCTGTGGCACCTTATAGACTAACTGAAGTGTTGGAGCATAAGCTTTCGTGGGCAAAGACCCACTTCTTTGCCCACGAAAGCTTATGCTCCAACACTTCAGTTAGTCTATAAGGTGCCACAGGACTCCTCGCCATTAAAACCATACTGTAATTCAAACTCTACGCAGATCAATTGCTTTTTGTTTTTTAAAAACTATTTAAAACACATCTTTACCTCCCAAAAAACCAGAAACATTACAGTGATCAATATAAAAAGCAAGCAATGTTAATGTTAATCTCCAAGCAAATT